TACCGCTCATAAGTCACATTGTCTGTCCAGGGCCCTGTGTGTTAGGGGCCCATCTGGCCGCTCACGAGCCGTTTTGGTCGCTAACGATCTTTCGGGCCACTGAGGGGCCACTCGGGCTATTAAGGAGCCCCTTGCCAGTGGCTTTCTCCTCTGATTTCTCAGGAAGACAGGGACGGAACCCCGAATGTCATAAGGTCTCTTGCGTTGGTGGGATCCCCTGCTAATAACAAAAAACATGGAAGGGGCCATGAGACGGTGGAAGGGCCCCTTGTCAATCAGGGGTCCTAGCACCGAACAACGGCTGGGACCCCTGACCCACACATTTTATCTGGGGCACACACGTGTCGACCTGGGGTCCCTGTGCCATTTATTGAACCCGGTACGCCAAGGACCTTAGATGAAACCAAGGGACCTTTCAAAGTCGATGAGGGGTTTGCACGTCGACCCAGGATCAACCGTGCCGGCCAGAGGACCTTCGGAGTCAGGGAGGGGACCAATGTGTCAAAACCCCATTCAAATATGGAACACGCCCTTTAAGGACTGATGCTACATCTCGGCAACCGCAGAAGGTAAAGACGTGAAATCATCTGCCCGATATAGGCTAATATGCCATCCAAAATGATCAGGTGGTCTCTGCACCTTCCAACCAATAGGTGTGTGGCAGTTGCCGAGAAACGGTTGTCAGGATTACGACACGCTTTGCTCTAAACCGAAAACAATGTCCTACGGATACTACAAAGAAGCAGAGACGAGCCCGATGAAATAAATACCTATCTGTAACATAAAGCAGGAAATTCGGACCACTCCTCTGCGTTTTTTTTCGCGCAGGATTCGCGTGATGATTGAGCTCGGTCCCTGAAACTTGACATGTTTTACTAACTTTTCATTACCCAACCGATACTGCGACTTTCACTTTTGAATATTCGCCATGCGCAGTTCCAGGGCTGCCTGCGGATGGAATGCGTTTGGATCTCTCGTGATTTTCATCTTGATTCAGATATGCTCATTAGACAAACAATGCATTCTGCTCCACAAACAAAGAGAACTCAATGCATGGTTGCAAACATCCGGGCGCGAATGTTTGCAAGCTACTCTGGCAGGAAGTAGCCCTGCACAATCCCGGTGCTGCAGTGGCCACTCACGCAGACCATTCGGAGGGGAGAGTTCACCAGCCGTCCTGGCACTGTGACGGTTCGTTCCCAGGGACGGTGCAGGGCGGGGGTCACCGGGTGAGGGTGTCGGCACTGCTCGCCCGATGCCGGGCGCCCCGCGGAGCTGACCACGTGGTCAGCCGCCTGCCATGAGCCTCTTCTACAGTCTCTCTCAACTTTCTCCGAGCGCGGCCGCCCACTCCTGCCCCAAACCGAGTGGATGATTGGTTTGAACTATGGCGAAATGAACCAAGGGCGAGCCCACGTCTCGCCATTCTCTCGACGCCCGGGCCGGTACCAGGCGCGCAACGCACGACCCAATGACAAAACAAAACAACGTACGGAGTATCCATCAGACGTGGATTTTCAAACCGACCGCGCTGCTGTGTATCAAGCGGTAACTCATATGACTTAGAGCATGCAACATGCAACATTGCAACATATTGTGACCTATGCGTACTGTACTAAGACCAAGCAACCACACCAATAGATGAGGCAGATGACCGCTGGTTGGACCAGACTCACTGGTTTCTACAGGTCTTCTTCCGCACCTAGCTTTCAGATTGCTTGAAAGCTTTCATAAATTTAATCAGGTGGTTTGAAAATGAAGCCAGGCAGCTTTCACAAGAGCCATAACCAGGTGGCTACATAACCAGGTAGCGTAGCCGGCAGCTTTGTCGCACGACCTATCCTAAAGCCTATCCTCTGGTCTCTCTGCCTGGTGGTAACGCAGCAGTAGTGACCTTGGAGCCGGAGCCGTCCTTGGATTGCCGAGGACCTTCTGAAGGGTGAGCCGCCGTGCACCTGAACACGCGATGTATACCGTCAGGCGTAAGAAGGTGCTGGGTTCTAATCCCCATGCAGGCGACTAGACAAGACTGGTGGATCTGGCCACTGGCGGGAGCGCCGCTGAAAGGCCTCAGCCGATTACGACGGGCACAGTCGGTGCCGCCTGTGTCTGCAGCACCGTTATAGATGGTCACGGCTGGCGGCACCCTTGCAGGGAAGCTGACTCATCCCCGACCTTCTGTGATGCCGCGGCAGAGGAGAGCGACCTGCCGCTCCAACCGGAGCGATTTGTTGGCTAGCAGCTGATCCGCTCACGCTGCCGTCCCGACGAATGGCGTCGTGCTCATGTAAGCAGCTCCCTCCTGCTCATGCTCCAAAATGGGCACCCAGGGAGGCGATCAACTTATAAAAATGGCCGTATATTAAACAGACGAGATTATACATTTCGTAAGATTACCAGTGCCAAAGTGGTACCATGTCAAGGACACAGTCTGCGCATTCCTGAGATCGGATTACTGTATGAGTAGCAATGACATATTATGACATCTAGCCATTTGCATGAGGACTATAATCCCTGCAGCTTCTGCAATGCCGTTGGAATTCACTTTTGATATTAAAGGATATGTTAATCATTTACACATCATGCGTTATATAAGGATTGAGGGGTGTGTTTAACGCAGCAATTTCATGCTGTTTAATCTCCATTATCCATAAACTGTCTAGCGCCTGTTTCAACAGTTACCTCGGCCCGCTGCCACGCATGGTTACCTCTAGCCAGGTGAGCATGCACTCCCGTGAGGCTCACCTAGCTGAGATGTCGACAGAGAGCGGCGTCGGTCCACCGGCGGGGACGTGCCCGGCTCCGGTCATCATGCAGCGAGAGGTGGTCGCCCACCTACGCCGAAAGTGAAGGGGAATAGGAGAGATGCCAATGTCAGCCGGCAGTGAGCCGGCCGGCGCTAGACGAAGGCCAGACCGGGAGCCGGCGGGCTGACACGCCAGGACCGTGGCAGGAGCCGACGGGCTGACACGCCAGGACCGTGGCAGGAGCTGACGGGCTGACACGCCAGGACTGCGGCAGGAGCGGGCGGGCTGACACGCCAGGACTGTGTCAGGAGCTGACGACGGGCTGACACGCCAGGACCGTGGCAGGGGCCGACGGGCTGACACGCCAGGACCGTGGCAGGAGCTGGCGGGCTGACACACCAGTACTGTGACAGGAGCCGACGATGGGCTGACACGCCAGGACCGTGGCAGGAGCTGGCGGGCTGACACACCAGGACTGTGTCAGGAGCCGACGACGGGCTGACACGCCAGGACCGTGGCAGGAGCTGGCGGGCTGACACACCAGTACTGTGGTTGGAGCCGACGACGGGCTGACACGCCAGGACCGTGGCAGGAGCTGGCGGGCTGACACACCAGTATTGTGGCGGGAGCCGACGATGGGTTGACGCGCCAGGACCGTGGCAGGAGCTGGCGGGCTGACACACCAGTACTGTGGCAGGAGCCGACGACGGGCTGACACGCCAGGACCGTGGCAGGAGCTGACGGGCTGACACACCAGTACTGTGGCAGGAGCCGACGACGGGCTGACACGCCAGGACCGTGGCAGGAGCTGACGGGCTGACACGCCAGGACTGCGGCAGGAGCTGACGGGCTGACACGCCAGGACCGTGGCAGGAGCTGACGGGCTGACACGCCAGGACCGTGGCAGGAGCTGACGGGCTGACACGCCAGGACTGTGTCAGGAGCCGGCAGACTGACACGCCAGGACCGTGTCAGGAGCCGGCAGACTGACACGCCAGGACTGTGTCAGGAGCCGACGAGCTCGGCACGCATGGATCACGCCAGAAGCCGGCGGGTTTCATATGCCGGGCCGAGATCAGGATCAACCCAGAAGCCGGTGGCCGGGCACGCCACCTGGCCACTTCGGTCAATCATAGGACCTGCTCGCAGCCACTCACAGATCACCAGCAGCTGCCGCATAACAACAGCCGAAAACAGTTCTTTAGCAAAAAAAAGGACTAGGCTATGTCGAGCTTCGGTAAATTGGGATGTGTTTCGCTGTAAAATCCAAGGCAAACTAGAAGTGGTCTATTTACAACCTTTGTCATATACCCTACGCTGGTATTTCAAAAGCCTCCGATGGAAATGTGCAACTGGACAATGTCTTTCAACTTGTCTCTGACACATTACTTGTGACAGCAAAATTCATTAAGTAGTTATCGCGATGATTAAGGGCACCTTTTGCAATAATGCTTTCTACATTTCACCGTGAAAGAACCAAACGGTGCACCATTTATCAAGGACTTTTGATTAACTACCAGAGTGGGATACTGTGTTAAGTCCCGTTATCAGCATTTCGAAGTTAGATTGTTTTGCCACCCTTGCATTTACCAGCGCTGTGATCTAAGGATGGTGTTTACATTTTGTAATTTCTGCCGGCGAACTATGAACCCCATAAACGCCGCTCTTAAATTTCACCGCTTAAAAACTGACCCAGGATTGGTTAAAAACGTTCAGTTCTCTCATTCTTATCGTTCATTTCCTCTTTTTCCTTCAGATGCTTTCCATTCCACTTTACTTCCCAATGCGTTTCCATTCTTTCCAGATATTTCTTATCTACCCCCCCCCCCGCCCCCTCCCCCTCGCGTCATCGTGGATTGTACCACGCCTAGGGTCTACCAGGCACCGGGATTCTTTTGGTTCACGAAATTAATAATCGGACTGAACTGCGCCCGATACGAAAATTTTCCATGACTTGCCCAGATGAGTTGGAACAGATCGGAGCAGTCAACTAGATTACGAAACTGAATGTTACCCATGCATGCTATGTGCATTTTTCGTTTGAACGCGAGATAAAATGTAGCGGGTTGTCGCCGATTTTCATGACACATTCTGTTGTGTGCGATTGAGTAGTATTGCAATTACTTGTGTCAAATAGTGAACTGGCGGATGAGCGTACTGGCGGACTGATCGTATCAAATCCGCGATTGGATCGGACTGGCACGAATGACTCCAGAGTCATACGAGCGTCTGGGCCGAGGCGCGGTGTCTTACCGTGGGGTGCAGCACTTTGGCGATGGAGTGCGGGCTGGGCTCGGCGGAGAACATGGGCACACCGTGACCGGTCAGCTTGAGGAAGGTGGCCAGCAGCGATGTGGAGGCCGCCTTGTTCACCAAGCATGTCATCGTCTTCAGCGGCGGAACCACCGTAAAATGGGTCAACTTCACCTGCTCCACTGGCGAGTCTGCCGGAACAGGAGCACACGGGTTGAAGTCGCAACTGACACCCCGACACAGGGTAATACCACGACTCCTCTTCACATACGAGACGGGGGCACGACTCGCACCTCAGACATGGGATGGAGGGGCGACTCGCACCTCAGACATGGGATGGACGAGCGACTCGCACCTCAGACACGGGATAGAGGAGCGACTCGCACCCCAGACAAGGGATAGAGGAGCGACTCGCACTTCAGATATTAGATGGAGGTGCGACTCACACCTCAGACATGGGATGGAGGGGCGACTTGCACCTCAGACACGGGATAAAGGTGCAAATCACACTTCAGACATGGGATGGAGGTGCGACTTACACTTCAGGCATGGGATGGATGTGCGACTTACACTTCAGGCACGGGGTGGAGTGCGACTTACACTTCAGGCATGGGATGGAAGTGCGACTCGCACCTCCAGGATGGGGAAGAAGTGCAACCCACACCTTAGACATGGGGTGGAGGTGTGAATCACACTTCAGACATCGGACGGAGGTGCGACTCCAAGGTGGGAAAAAGGTGTGACTCACAACTCAGGTACAGGGTGAAGGTGCAAATCATACTTCAGACATGGGATGGAGGTGCGACTCGCACATCAGACACGCGATGTAGGCGCAGGTCACATCTCAGACATGGGATGAAGGCACAGCTCACGCTTCAGACACGGGATGGAAACGTGACTCACATCTCAGATACAGGTTGTAGGCAAACGTATTTTTCACCGTTTGGTGGACATCATCTGAGATTAACGTTGCGGTCAGCTGGTTAGTGTGCGCCACCGCACCAGCAAAACTGTCATCATGTTTGCCAGGATTACAAATGGGTGAGCAGTACGAGAAACTGACGAACACCTTGCACAGCTAAGTGACAGTGTCACTGCGATCAAGAAGTGGTCGAGGCTGACGAGACCAGCCAGCTAAATCGTGAAACCAGCACCGGAAGGGGCTATCAGGCACACGAAAAAGAAAGCCAGTTGCTTGCCAGTGGCATGCCAGACCCAAACAGCGAGCACACCTTCTCAATTTCAGTGTCGTGGGGCGCGCCGTTGCTGGGCGCAGACAAACGTGTACGCGAACACATCGGCGAACCCCTGGTATCTGAGTCATGTATAGTGCGGTATCGCTGGCACGTATCATATCGATTGATTTTTGACCAAAGCGCGACCTGGACCAGGTAGTTTTGGGTGGACTGATCTGGAATGATGTCATTCACGGGCAGCGCCACGTCCCCTGCTTCTCGTTCCGATATCGGCGGACGCGGTGCGCTGGTGAGCTGCGGCCGTGGTGCCGGCGGCCTCCTCACGCGCTGTGCGTCGCCGCCGCAGCCGTCCCCTGGACGCGATAAGGCGGTGCGCACGCCGCCCGCCGCCGCGCACATCCGGCACGCGATGGACCCGCGGCCGGGGCCACACGGCGGCGGGAGCTCGGGGACCGTGCGTAGGCCGGCAGGGGTGGGCGGAGGAGCAGGCTTTCCTGCCGGCGCGGCGACCGGCAGGGGTGGGCAGAGAAGCCGGGCGTCGCCCCGGTGCGGCGGCCACGTCACGCCGGGAAGTGTGCCAGCCGCACCGGGGCACGACGCCGCCTTTCAGGAGTGGCACGCCGCGTGACCGAAACGGGTCAGAGAGAGAGAGAGGCCACGACTGCACCTCATCCGAATGTCACGCTCGTGAGAGTTGGCAAGCACTCGAATCGGACACGGACCGGGCCGAATCAGGCTCCCAGTTCGGCCGGGTCCCAGTGAATTGAAGAGCAACTCTTGCACCACATTGCCCATCGTTTATATGCTATATATATATATATATATATATATATATATATATATATATATATATTGAGCGAATGCTGAAGCTCCTTCCGAAACAATGACAATTATCTCAGCATCAAGAATTCGCTCTGTGTGGCTGGCCTCTGTTAGAATCGGTCATGATCTCCTTATCGCCCTTACCTGATCTGACCTATCGTTAATGACATGATTGGGTAGTTTGGTTTAGGAGCCGTCTCAGCTAAAAACATCTTCTTTGAAAGAATTTGTAAGATTTTTTACCAAACTAACTTAAAATTGAGAACTGAACGAATAGTGCGTCCGGAAAGGAAGCCCAATCCAGTAGCTGGAAAACTGCACGGGAGGAGCGGAATCATGGCCATCGCTAGGATTTGCCAACTAAAAGAAAATGTTGATAATAATTTTAGCATCAATTAAGTGTTGGCACTGAACATTATTCGAAATGAATATTGAATAATGATTTGATTGCACCTAATTATAACTATCTGATACCATGCCATATCAATTAAACGTGCACATGCGCCACAAATAACTATTTGCTCCCATCCCGAAAGTCAAACCGCTTGAGCTGCAGGGCTATCGCCTCCACCAAAAGGGAAGGAAAACATTCAAAACACAGGTGAACATTGCCCCTTTCCCTCCCCCCCCCCGCCCCTGACTGGGGAGGGGAGGGATCACTCGACTGGTCTTACAGGAGTTGCGTTTGAGGGAGGGCTCCATATTTGTAAGGGATTTTGAAATGAGATAGATGTTTTAAAATCATTGATACCAGTTCAGAGTCATGCCCTTTTTAGGCTTAAGCCCCTCTTGTTTCAGAGCTTGACGCCCTCGAACTTGTGCAGACTATTTAGTGTAGACTATTTCATCCAGACATTCATGACGCCATAGAAACGTCACACAAATGCTGCCGTCTCATTGGCCATGAAAAGCTGAAAGCCGAAAACACATATGGTCATTCAAATACTCGTGTCTCGCGTGCGTCAATACGATTCGTGGCACCAGCTGTCATCAGTTGGCCGTCGACTGTTTGACGCGTTGAGTGCAAATTTCGAACACAAATCACATTTTGTGTTATATACACACATAAAAAGGAAGGTGAGCAGTGGCACAAGTTATGACGAAAGTAACGTCAAGTTATAAACCAATATGGAAATATGGGAACGATAGGTCAATGTGCGAGGAGGTGCCGACAGTGTAGTGGTTATCGCGTTTGCGTTAACCACTGCGCGTCTGGGAAACCAGAGGTACGGGATTCTCTCCCCGCGGTGCCCGCCCTTCCTGCCAGGGTGAGAGGCAGGCGACGCCATGTGGCCTCAGCAGCCGAGTGCGTCCAAAAGCCCCAATGACACACAGGTCAATATGATAACCAAATAACTTAAGAATCGCACCATCACCGTATATGTGAATGCAAGCAAACGGTGTAAAATGATGAATACATATACAATACACGACGGGAAAGCGTCAAAATACGACAAACACGAGAAAGCGCATGAAGATACTAGGGTTTCGCAACTACGCACCAGCACGCGCGCCACCATGAAGTATTACAAGTGTGTTAGCCCGTCCGCTACGGCGCCAATTACATCACGGCCATTTGACAGTGACTCTGACGTCATACACACAGTCCATGACATAAGCAGACGCATTGAGGAATTTATTTACGGAATCATAAAATTGTGTTGCCTTGAGAAGCTTTTGTTGTTTTTAAAAGCATGCCAATAGTTACAAATGAGCCCATTTCATCATATCTCGTATTTGCATCTATCCTCAATTATGCCACACTGCCTTTAAAGGGAGTGAGTGTCCCACCTTTGGGGCATCTTTCAAAAACATACTCTTGTGAAACCTCAGGACTGGTGACGCCTTATAATAACATTGGGTAACACCAATGCAGCACTGTCAAGGCATTATAAGAATATCAATTTCCATTATTTTGGAGTTCAAATCACGCTGTCAGCGACTTGTAACAGCACTACACCTCTTCCTTGCAGTCGTGGCCACTGTCGTCATGACAGTCCGCTGTGCGCACCTCTGTTGGTGCGAAAAAAACAATGTTTGTGTTTGACCTAGCGGACGAGGGTCTGTTATCGCCCAGCGCCTTGGTTGAAGTTTGAGCCAGTGCGTCACAAGGGTTATGGAAGCTCCCATTCCCAAAGCACAAGTGGATGTATTTTCTATGTGTCCCCTATAACATTTACCAGAGGCGCTCGGGTAAATGCCATAGGGGAGAAATCGGAGCCACAGAAAACCTTTCGTTGAATCTGCGGGATGAAAGTTCTATGTTCGCCTATCCTGTTTTGTAAGCCAAGTGTTTCAAGCTTTCGTGGCTTTTATTACACGAAAAATATTTTGACCCATTAGTGTGTTACAAACATTGCAGACCACGCACGTTGGAAAAAACAAGGCAAATGAAACGTATTTCTTTCATAGTGGTGAGCATGGAGTTAAATGAGATGTTTCCCGCGGGGTCGGCTACTTCAAATGGAAATGCTGAGCTGTTCAGAATTTCGAGAAAACTGGCATTGCTGATCAAATAGTACGTGTGTGATATTACAGTTAGTGAAAGGTACAAAAATGGGGAGATGCTCCTTTAAGTAAATTAGCATTTACATGAGGCATCAACCTCAATCCAAGCGCAATGTAATCTATTCAAATCTAGTCAACACAAACGGCATTGCTTTAATTTGTACAAAGTTTTGTACCACCAGGACTTTTTCCAACAACGTGATGCCCCCAGAAGACTGCATTCTTTGCCGTCTGGTGGAAGGGTGCTGGGCTTGCAATCTAGCGGCATTGCCTACGAGTCCCGGAGCTGGCGCGGTTTATCCCGACGGACGTGGATAGGTCAGCTGGCAGCTCGCCAGAAAAGGTCAGCCCGGCCCCGGACGGCCGTTTCGGAAAACTGTGTGGCTGTTAAGTCCACCACAATCCTGTCTGACAGCAAGACAAGACCACAGATCAGATTTATCTCAATCAAAGTGCTCAATCAAAGCATCGTCATCAAAGTGAATCTTTTCCAGCATTCTCATGAGCTGACCAGTGCATAGCCACGTGCCTCGAGGATCAATGAGCGGGCGGAAGGGGATATTTCAACGGGCCTGTGGCCAGCGTTTTGTCTGTCAAAGGAAATTGAACAGGATTCGCAGAAGGCGTGATGTCATTCGCTCGTAGCCGTACAACCAAAGTACGTT